TTTTTTTTTTTTTTTTAATTCTGTGTCCCTCAAATTTTCTTCACTACACTATATTGTGACTTTCATTGCTTGGTTTCATACCAAGTTTGCACCTAGGAATATTTACTTTACAACGCTGTTTAGTGTTATAAAAATTTCTCTGTGCTACATTTGTAGCTATTGAAGAAGATGTTTGCCCGTGAGCATTCAAAAACTGCATCTCCAGTAGAACAATTTCGGCAATCATTAGAAAAGGTAATTCCGATCTGGGAAAGCTTTCAAAGTGTTATTGATTAATTTATATAACAATTCATTATAATTTTTGTAAACAACTTATAAGTATTTCATATAGAATTTTTTAATGTATAATCAGTCTAGTGCTTTAAATCTCATAGTACTTTTTTATATTTATTATTATTAGAACAAATTACTCATCATATTATTTTAAAAGTAATAAACACATAATTGGTTTTACTTTGATATTTAAAAACTTTATATTAGTTGAAATACAAAATCTTTACATTATCTCCATAAAAGATACAGAACAATTTTGTTTTATTTTTCTCAAGATAAACAAGATCACTGCAATGAGTAGTATGGATCACAAATCAGCAATGGTGAATACTTGTTCAGTCACCTTTACTATAAGATTCTGTCTTCAATAACTTCCATTAACTCAAGTTTAATAGCTGCATCGTGAAAATGTAGTGAAGAAAAACCCCTCAATGGTAAACTACCCATTTTGTCTAATTTTCTTGACATATACCATGCTTAGACAGGGTTGTGAAGTGTCCGCAAAGGAGTTAGGCTCTCTATTATCTCTGGTGGCTGAGAAAAAGAGAAAAATGGAACAGGAAGAAGCAGAGAGAAACTTGCAAATTCTATTGGACTTCCTACACAACTTAAGGCGGAAAAAAATTGATGACCTCAATGAGGTATGTCAGTAATAAATCAAAGTACAAGAAAACTGTAGTAGGTTATTCAGTTCATAATGCTTGAATATGAGAATTTTGTATTGGCAATCACTTATTTCGTTTTTTCAGTCTGAATTCTAATTTATTGACCTATTTTTTGTTTTGCATATGTTTGACTGTTCTTGTTGAATTTCAGAAGAGTATATGGAGAACAATTTTTTTTTTTTTGTCATTTCCCTTTTGCATTTGTTTATTCATTTGTCTTTCATTTTCAAGATATGTTTGATTATGCTTCAATTTTCAAGTGCATAAGCACAAAAAATAAGTGATGCAAATTGTGAATTAAAAACTATGATTTCAGAATTGATGTGTAATTCAGCCACTTAAAGCTATTCCAATAGGTTTTGGACCAGAGATATTGGCTCTATATATATTTTTTTTTTTTTTAAAAAAATACCTTCTGAATTCCCATAGAGAATTAGAGATAATGTTGTCACGTGTCGTTCTTGTTCTTTATAGATGCAAAATGACCTTTTGTACATCAAGGAAGATTTGACCGCCGTTGAAAGACGTAAAATGTATCTAAACCGTGCTAGAGAAAGATGTTCCATTAAAGTGAATGTGCTTTCTGATGATCCGTTGGGAACCAGACCCCATACTTCATTAGTGGGTAGAAGTACTCCTGGGTTTTTGTACAATTCTTCTAGTGCACCAGGGGGAATAACTTCCTACAAGAAAAATGAGGGAAATTTTCAGATCACCCCCCATGGGACCCAGAGCAAGGGTGGTGGGTTAACTTCACAACATGTAGGCGATCTGTCCGTGATACGTAAGAAGCGGGTTCACGCACAGGTTAGAAAAAGTTCAGTTAACAAGCCTTTATCTTCGAACGACTTTGATGTGTGAACTTTATTTAATAAGCTTGACTTGTTGGTATGTTGGATACATGTAGACTATACATATTGGTGAGGCATATTGTTGGACATATCTTTTTTAATCTTGATTAGTGTATTATGACTTACTTTGAAAGCTTAGATATCAGTTTCTTATAACTATCTTTTAGGGTATGTTTTAGTGAACAAATGTGAATAAGTTTATTGCAGTATTAATTCGATAAATCCTAAAATACAAAACAACTATGAACATAACAGATTGCCCAGAGTATATAACTGAATAAGGTTGGATTTTGATGAACTGAAATCTCAAATAAAGTTCAATTTATTAGTTTTCAGTACAACATTGAGTTCTTAAATATTATATATTCCTGCAATAGTTACTATGTTCTACATTTGTATGGAATGTAGCATATAAATTGTAAAAGGAATAAGACATGTTAGCTGATGTTTCGAAAGTGAATTTTATACATGTTTGTGATTTTAGTTGATATAAATCTAGGTAATCATACGTAATGTATGATAAGAAACTCCGTTTGGTCTCTATTCTCCATTACACCTGGGCAATTTCCTTTTTTTAGTGATACGATATTTCCCTTCGTTCAAGACTAAATGAAATTCAATTTTCTTTATGGAAGCCATTATTCTAAAAGCTTGATATCAATTGCAATAACAGTCTAAGTCAAATAAGGCGAGAGCGTTGGTGCCATTATCCATATGCTAATGATTTTCTCTTAGCATAGAAACTAGATTCCTTTTTTGATTTTATCTTACGACACCCTTCATAAAGTCTCCAGTTGACTGATAGTTGTTATTTGCAGTTTAATGAACTTCAAGAATTTTACTTACAAAGGAGACGTCAGTCGGTGAACCATTTAGGGAACCACGAAAAGAAAGATAAAACTATGGTTACAAGGGAAGGCTATAGTTCTGGTCTAGAAGATTTCAAGTCAGTTCTAAGTACGTTCACTCGGTACAGGTGAAGTGCTTGATTCGGTTTCACTAAATTTTTCCACCATTGCTCGTTTTTTCTTTCACCTTCCAGTGTTTATTTTTCTTTTACCTTATCTTGGAACAGCCGGTTACGAGTAATTGCTGAACTTCGGCATGGTGATCTCTTTCATTCAGCCAATATTGTCTCGAGGTAAGTTGGAAGTTGAGACAGTAAGTTTTTCCATCTGGAAACATTTGTATATATTAGTTTCCTGATGGAAAATAGTCCGACTTACAACTTATGTGAAATGAATAATCTCGTGTTGACAATAAGAGGATTGCAGTTTCTCATGATGGCTTTAGTGGGACCAAAAAAACCTTTTTGCGATAAAAGTATATCCTTGAGTTACGTAGAAAACGGGGAAGCTTCTAGTAAAGTAAATTTGACACTACATTTCTCTAGAGAAGTCTTTTTCCGGATGATTGTTCGAATTTGACTAGGCTTAAGCTACTCATTTAGAATCACAAGTTTCTGCTTGGTTCCTTTTATGTACGCGTTGAAAATGTTCATGCATATATGGAATGCTGGTCTAAGAAAAAGATAATTTGGCAGGCAGAAGCAATGAATACTTGTATGATGTTTCTTTAAGATCACACAGCCAATGAACACTCAAGCAATTTCTATGTTATGCAGCAAGTTAGAAGATTTTTGGAAATCTTGTATAATCAAATTGGTCTTCTTAGTTCTCCGTGATTTTTTTTTTTTTTTTTTTTTTTTT